TTACTGCTTTTATGACCTATTTTATACAGGATGAAATAGTATCTTCCTAGCTTATTCCTTTAAGTCACTGACATGGCTTAGTAAATACTTACGGAGGAAGTTTTAAAAGTAGTGTGTTTAAAAGCCTTTACATTCTCTGACAGCTGAACAGTGCCATTTCTTCTTTCTAGATTGTAGTCATTGAAAGAGATCAAATACTTGCTGGCTTTATCATTTGTTTACTGATTGACTGGTTTTTGTCATGCCAGAAATTGGTCCCAGGACCTCATGCATGTTAGACAGGCATGCTACTACTGAGTAATACCCCTAGTCCCTGATTTTATTTTTTAATTTTGGTAGATAAATTATCCCACAGGGAGCCATTGGCTCCTATGTTAGTTAGATCTTGAGATCTTAGACTGTCTCCCAGTCTTCCTCCTGCTCCCTCCTAGAAGCACCAAAGAATAGAAGATAGGAATAGGATAGAGGAGATGGAGACATTATAGGTTATTGGTAGCTGAAATCAGTGCTTACTACAATTGTAAAGGAAAGCCCAGAGTTTTTCCAGAGAGAAGTTAAGGTTGATCCATTTTCAGTATTTTATTTCTTATTATATAGTACTGTATGTCTTTGATAAAGTGACAAAGTGACAACTCTCAAAAATGTATTTTTCCTGCCCCTCCCCCCAAAATTTAAGTATTTATATTAAAAACTAAATATACCAATTTGCCACATATATATACATATGTATATGCCGTATGAAAAATTTGGTTAATGTTTAAATCAATTACAGTAAAAGATACATTACCATTAATCCCACTCAAAATACTTTCTCTTGTTTGGAACACTCTTATCCCATGGTTGCTGCCTCTTTGAAGCAGTTCTGAAAGTCCTCTTTTGTATATTTAGTTGTGCTGTTGTGGTTGCCTCAATGTCCTGAATTGATAGAAAACATTTATCTTTCATGGTCATTTTGATTTTGGGAAAGAGCCAGAAGTTTTGCAGTGCCAGATCTGGTAAACTAGGTGGATAAGGACACACCGTAAGATTTTTCCAAGCCTGCCTTTCCATTGGATGGTATAGAACAGCAGCATTCACCAGATTTTTTGTCATACCTTATAAAGATACTAACAAAAAAGGACTCCAGAACTGCTTTCAAAGTTAGTAAGGATGATGAAATAAGTATGTTCAAAGCAAGGGGGAGCACTCTGAGAGGTATTAATGGCAATGTGTCTTTTACTATAATAATTTTAAAAATTTAAATATTGGCTATATATTTTGAGCATTCTTTGTATAAGTGTCTCATCTCAAAAAGCCAGAAGGACATAAAAATTCATTTTATAATAGAATGTCTTTCATTAAATTTTGTGATATCCAGAAAAAATCTAATTTTAAGAATCCTACATGGTTTAAGAACAAATAATTGGGATATCAAAGAAGCATTTAAAATATTAAGACCTTCTCTTTGTATTTCCCCAAAGGCATGAAAGTAATACCACTTAATAGGTTAGCTGCTACTCTGCGCTTTCAAAGCACTTTAGACTCATTCATCTGTCTGAGGTAGGACAGTATTAACACTATTGTTTAATAGATGAGAATCCTTCCCCCATTTTACTATATTTAAAGTCCAGAATTTATCCAGAGCTCTGCATACAGTGCCTGTAGTGTCCTAGTAGCCTAATAGATTCATTTTATTAATACCCTCCTTATCTCCTAAATATACCTGGGATATTTTTCCGGAAGGGTTTTAAAAACTAAAAACAAAGAGAGAATTGTTATGTGGTTTTGGTGAAATATATTTTTACCAAAGTAAAAACATTTCAAGTAAAATATATATTTAACTTAAAAATGTGTAAGAGACTATAATACAAAAAAGAAAACAACATGTATAGAACTAGGTAAACAATTTTTAAATTTAGGTAAAGTATTGAAGCAGATACAGCTTTAATGTATATCAAATTCAATATTTTCCTTCTGGAGGAGAGTTTATGGAATCTTACACCTAAAATAATTTAATAATTGCATTGTATTGGTAAGTAAGTTTTGGTTAACAGAGAGAAAAACTATGGATGTTTATTACCTGATTTTTGTCATAATTAGTTATGGAGATAGCATCTCTATGAATTACTGGTAATGTTATCACTTGAATAATAATCTTACAAGCATGTTTTCTGGAACTTTATAGTTTGAAGGAATAAAAGGTACAGACACTTTCTTGTGCTTGTCTTTGTTAATTTAAATGTAGAGTATATTGCAGGTAAAGATTCCAAAGCATGATTTATTTTATCTATGTTTATTTACAAGTACATTTAATCCTACCCTGCCTTTTGAACTTTTTAATGCTGCATAAAATATTAATCATTAGGTGGTCATAATGTCAACATCTTCAGCACTTGTACAAAAAGTCATTGTCAGAGAATTTATTCTAATTCAAGGTTAATTAGTGTACCATTAAAATAATGTGTTACAAAAATTAATTACATCTCAGGTCAAAACACATGTTAAAAAGCTTAGTGTAAATGTCTGAGAGCACGTCATCCTTCTTGAAATACTGCTATACGTATGCCATCCTTCTGGAAAATATATCCAAAGTGAAAATCACTACTGAGGTCCAGTCATAGGTATTGCCCCTAAAGTAAGTTTTTGGCACCACATATGGCAAATTTAAAATATAATCCCCATTAACAGTAAAATGTGTTGCTTGTCTGCTTTCTCATTGAAACAGCTAAGGATTTATATTTTAGCTGAAGTAACCTCTTTGGGTCAAACCTAAGGAAAAATCAGGAACCTGTTTAAGAAGTCAAATTATCTGTATGTCTTGTGGTAAAAGTACTAGATCAATTAATCTTATGTTTCCTACTTAACTGTTAGGTATGTGTCCATATATCACACATCATTTTAACTTTGTAGTAATTCTTATTTATAGTTGAACTTAGTAACTTTAAAATGTACACTTAAAATAAGAATTTAAAATGATAGAGACTTTGAAATTTTATCTGGTTATTTTAATGTAAAAGCTGTGAAACAGTTATATTGAACTATAGAATATTGTATACATTGGTATTTGTTAAAAGAGTTCCACTAAAGTATCCATCCTTGTGGAAGATTTTTGAATTAGTACCTTCATAGCAACAGGTCAGTGTACACTAGAGTTGAAGAAATTTTTAACATAGCAAATGTCCCTTTGTGCTCAAAAACATTTTTTTTAAAACTGAGCTTTTAGAAATGTTTCCTTAAAAAAAAAAAAAACTCAGCGGGCTCCTAACACAATATAATAAAACCATTTTTGCTACTATAACAAATGGTGAAGATTTACCTACATTTACAAATTTTTGGTTTCTCTTGCTTATGGGACCTTGTGTAAGCCTACTGGAAAACAGATATTTACAGGTAAGTAAAAGCAAACCAAGCAAACGAAAGTTTTTTAAAGGGACAATTTGTAAGAAAGTTGTCCCATCCTGATTTTTGGTTTCAAGAATGGGTCCTGGTTTAAATCATTGAACTTATAGGTACTTGAAGAGAGTCTGAATGATGTAAGAGTATAGGCAAGTTTAGAAAAGCTTTCTGGAAAGGTACATTTAAAATGTACATTTAGGTACATCTAAAGCCATTCTTGTCCCAGCTTATATCTATTTAAATCTTTTCTAAAATGAAATAAAGCAGGGATTTCAATTTAATATGTAAAAAGAATTCTATTCTTTATAAATAACTGTCCTGAAAAAGAAGTATTAGGCCATGTATCACTTTTTTCCTTCAGAAAAGCTCTGACTTTTGGAGATTGTGTTTATGGGGGAGGGGCAAGTAGGCTTCTTTCATTAGATAAACCAAGATTTTGTAACAGTGGAAACAGAAATGACACAGTTAATAGTAACTATGAGACTTTAGTAGACAGGAGTTAAAATGAACATACTGTATTATATTTAGTTCTTTACTTCCTAACAGTTATCTATTCTGTTTTACAGTTGCCTTTCATACTCAACTATTTGATGATAGAATTAGTAGGTGTTTTTCAGATATTTCAGAGTGTAAAGTTGTAACATTAAGGAGCAGAGGTTATTTTTATTTTTTAAAGGATAAAGTTAATTTAGACATGGTTCATTTAAATTATGATTTCTACCTAGGTTTAAGTGTTCTTTTTGCCCCTAAGATTTATTTCACCTTAAGAAGTGAACATAATAATTGAAGAAAACTATATATTATCATCTTGGTTACTTTTCTCTCATTGCTGGGACAAAATACCAGACACCCAAAATTAAGGAAGGAAAGGTTTACTTAGCTCACAGTTTGTGGAGGTTTCAGTCCATTCTTGGCTGGCTCCAAGGCAGAGTGGCACATGGCAGAGGGCATCAGTCCATGGCAGCAGAAGATAGCAAAAGCAACAAGAACAAAATGGGAGGATGTGGGGCTGGGGATTTAGCTCACCGGCACAGCGCCTGCCTGGCAAGCACAAGGTCGTGAGTTCGATTCCCGGTACCGGAAAAAAAAAACAAAAAACAAAACAAAACAAAAGAACAAAATGGGAGGATGGACGGCAGGCAGCCTCTTTCCCTCCCTTACACTGTATGTAAACTATCCGCCCCAGGGCAGGGGTAGCATTCACATCCATAATCCCAGCATTGGATCATGGATCAATGATAAACTCTAGAAGCCCACCCCATGACTGCATGAGGATTTGGGGGGACATGCAGACACAAACCATAACAATTATGTTTATAAAGAACTTTAAAATTCGTAAAGCATTTTCTTACAGTTCATTCATTCAGGAATTACTATTGATAATATTGCTGTGGTTAGTACCATCATCTCCATCCCACAGATGGTTTAAAGACACCATAATAGGTCCAGAAGTAGGACCCAAGGCTTCTGGTTGATTGCCAATTGCTCTTCTTATATTCTTTTTTTTAAAAAATTAACTATTCCTAGAATAATGAACCTAAAATATTATTTTCCTTAAGACATTATATCTTTTATATGGCCCCATAACTGAATTAGCAAATTAACATTTTTTTTCCTGTTTTTAGGGCAGAGCTCTACTCCATTGGGCATGCGATCGAGGACATAAGGAACTAGTCACAGTTTTGCTACAATATAAAGCTGATGTTAATTGTCAGGTAAGCGTGATAAATAGGAAGCTTTTTTTAAAAAATGAAGTAAAATTCACATAAAACTTCTGAGAATAATTGTTTGAAAGCATCCAATTCAGGAGCATTTAGTGCCTTTCAGTGTTATGACATCATCACTACTGTATACGTAGTTCCATGACACTGTCATCACACCAAAAGGAACTCTACCCATTAAGTAGTCCTGTCCTATTTTTGCCCAGCCCCAGACTTCGGCAACCACTAATCTGCTTTGCTTTTCTGTGGATTTGGATTTGCATTTGCCTAATCTGGGTATTTCATATAAATGGAATCATGAAAAGTGTGATCTTTCTTGTCTGGCTTCTTTACTTAAAATGTTTTCAAAGTGCATCTACATTGTAGCATGTTGCAGTACTTCATTCCTTGCTGTGGCTGACTTTCATGGATATTCTACAGATTTTAGTCATCAGCTGATGGACAGTTGTATTGTTTCCACCTTTGGTAATTATAAATAACGCTGCTATAAACATGCATGTATTTTGTTTGTTTTAGCACCTGTCTTCAATCTTCTTTATTTGGTTATTTTCTGAAGAGCAGATGCTTACCTTTTGGAGGCACTTCAAGCTGTTTTGTGGATGAGACACATTTTACATTCCTAACAGCAATGAATGATGCTTCCAATTTGACCACATCTTTATCAGCATTTGTTAGTTTTCCTTCCCTTTAAAATGGTCATCCTAGTGTGTGAGAAGTTGTGTAGTTTTGGATTGCCTTTCCCTGAGGACTAATGATATTGAGTATTTTTTCTTGTACTCATTGGCCACTTATATATTTTCTTTGAGTAAATGTCCATTCAAGTCTTTTGTCCAGTTTTAAAGGATTTTTTTTCTTTTTGTTGTCGAGTTTTTTTGTTTGTTTGTTTTGGTAGTAGGACTTGACCTCAGGACTTTGCACTTGCCAGGCAGGCACTTGTGCCCCTGAGCTATATCCCCAGCCCTGTTGTTGAGTTTTAGGAGTTCTTGATATTCTAGATACTAACTAGACCTTTATCTAATATATGTTTTATAAATGGGGGGTCTTCTTATAAATTTGTAGGTGTTGACTTTTTTATTTTATCCTTCAATGTACAAATTTTTTATTGTGATGAAATCTAAGGTTTTTTTCTATATTTTTATGGTGTCATGCCTAAGAAACCCTTGCCATGTACAAGGCCATCAAAACCTATCCCTATGTTTTCTTTTTTTTCTATTGTAAGAAAATATAAATGACACAAAATTTACTTTTTGAATCATTTTTAAGTGTACAGTTCTGTGGCATTCACATTTTGTGCAGCCGTCACCATCATCCATCTCCACCACACTTTTGTCTTCCGAAACGGAAACTCTGTACACATCAGCACTAAGACCCCATTGTCCTTTCCCTCACCCCCTACTTTGTATCTCTATGAATTTGACTAATCTAAGGACCTTATTTAAGTGGACTTACAGAATATTTGTCCTCTTTAAGTAGTGTGGTTCACTAAACATATTGTCTTCAAGGTCCATCCCTGTTTTAGCATACTTCAGAATTCTTTCATTTTTTAAAGCCAAATAATATTCTGTTGTATATATTTGCTAATTTAGTTTATTCAAATAACCACTGATGAAAACTTGGTTTGCTTTCACCTTTTGGCTGTTGTGAATAACACCACCACGAACACAGGCACACAAATGTTTATTCAAGTCCTCGCTTTGACTTCTTTGGATTGTGTACATGGAAGTAGAATTGGTAGGTCTTATCTTTGTTTAACTTTTTGAGAAACTGTCATACTGTTACACATAGCTCCTGCACCATTCCCACCAGCAATACACAGAGGTTTTGGTTTCTTCATAGCCTTTCAACACTTGTTATTTTCAACCATCCAGTGACTGATTTAGGTGCCTTTTATTTTGCTTTCCTGCCTAATTGCTCTGAGTAGACTTGCCAGTATGCTGATTCATAGAAGTTGGGATAGGACACATCCTTGCTTATTCTGGAGGTTTGCTTTTCAATTTAGTGTGCTAGATATAAAGTGCTTTTCCATTCTACTCCAGTCTCCTAGGTCTCTTGGCCTATCTTGCATCTTTTCAAGTCTGAATGAAGTTTTCATTTCTAACTGTGTCTCAAATTCATTCTATTTTGTATCTCTTATTTAACCTTGTAGATTTCACTTATCCCCTGACTGATCCACTCCATTAACCCTTTTTCCATTACTATAATAAAACGTCTTAGGCTGGGTGTCTTATTTCACACACAGTTTTGGAAGCTGAAAGTCCAAATAGCATGGACTCAACTCCGTTGAGGGCTCCCTAGGCTGGATTATATTATGGTGAATGGCATCATTGCTGGTGCATGTGTGAGAAAAGAGATTACATGGTAAGATTGGAAGCTAGCGAGTGATTCAGAGGTCAGGATCATTCTTATAATAACCCTCTCAAGAGAACTAACCATGGCCCCACAAGAACAACATCAGTTCACTCTGCGACCTAATTCTTCCCAGTAGGCTTTACCTCTTAAAGGTTCTACCACCTCTTAACATTGCCACATTGGGGACCAAGCTTTCAGCACTTGAACCCTTTGAGAATAAGCCACATCAGTGATTGGTAACCTTGGGTGTCAACTTGATAGGCTTGAGAGATGCCTAGGAGATTATTAAAACATATTTCTGGGTGTGTCTGGGTTTATCATGAGGTGTAACCTTAACAACTGTATCTGGTGCCTGGCCCCGTCCTTTTCAGCCCTTCTGCCTATGCTCTGCTTTCTGGCAATCAGCAGATTTGTCATGCTGTTTCTGCTTTAGAATCTCATGATCATGGATTGAAACCTCTGAAATGAATGAGCTAAAATAAACCTTTTCTCTTTTAAGTTGTTTATATCAGGTATTTTGGTCACAGTGACAAAAAACTGGCCAGTACAACATCCAAACCATAGCATCCACCTTCTCTAATTTCAGTTCAGTTTTGTATACTTTCTTGCTATTATCCTTATTCCCATTTCCTATATTTCAGCTGTTATGGTATTGGCAAAATTCTAATTCTCATTAATCCTATTGATTGTCTTCTATACCTCTATACCTGGGTTCTGGGCAAAGCTAGAAAAAAAATTCACACAACTCTGATGTTACCATAAATCATGGTATCTCTCATTAAGTCTTCTAGTTCATCTTATTTACAGAATATCTCCACTTTCACAGAAAAATTAGGCAAAATCATTATTACCAACCTACACTCCAGCCAATAGTTCCAGCCACATAAATTGTCTTCAGTTTCCCTCAGACACGTCATATTCACATGTAACACTAAGCCTACTGTCTCTAACAACTGTCCTCCCTTACTCACTATAATTGCCATCATCCAACAAATTTCCCAGGATCATACTTAATTTTTCTCATTCATTCAGATCCTTTAGGTTTTGCCTTCAAGTAATCTTATTCCCTGAAATCTACTAAATTCTCTATTTCAACACTGACAGTTTACTAATTCGAGCTTTTTAGACTATTGCAGCACCCCTGAACTCTATCCTACAATATATTACCCTTTATTGGTCTAGAAGGAGTTTCCAAAATGCAAATTTATAAATATCTTGTTTACTTTTATTTAATAAGATTGAACCACATTTGCCTTACAAAGCTCTTCATGACCTGAACCTTGTCTACCTCTCCGCTTGTTTCTGAGCACATTCCTGCAATGTCCCACGCCCCATATTCCAAGCCCCACTCATTCTGAAGAACTTGACATGTTATTCACAGTTTGTCCTTTATATGGACAGTTTTCTCTCTCCTTTGTCCTCCTTCCTAGGCCTGAATTTATACATCTTTTCCTTTAGGAAGACCCCCTTAAACCCACTCAACACCAATAGTCTGTTACGGCTTCCTGTTCTTAAGCTCATCAGAAAGTTGTGTTTCACCACTTTGTTTTGTAACTGGCTACTTACAAGTCCGTATCTTCAATACCTCTGTGTACCAGTACCAGAGTTTGGTTATATCACCAGTGCTAGCATAACATCTGACGTAGTAGGTACTTTGTGACTAAATGTTGAATAAAATAGTATCAGCTAATGAATAAGTTGACAAAATGTTGGAAAAATAAAAAACAAGAACCAGAAATGTCCTAAGCACCTAACGAAACCTTTGGGATGTCCTTCTTTTATCTTTCCCCATTAGACTTCTGTACCTTCTTAAGTAGAACATACATAAAGGGAAAAAAACTAAGGGCACAAAAGATTAATTTTTTTAAATGTTTTCTTACAACTTTGTTTCCCAGCCACCACGTTCTCTTCTCCACAGGTAGTACCTGTTATCAAGTTTATGGGTATCCTGTCAGGATTCGTAATATATGCAATTTTTTCTTCTTATTTGAGAGAGAATCTTGCTATGTAGTTCAGTTCAGGATGACCTTGAACTCACAGTGATCCTCCTGCCTCAGTCTTGCAAGTGCTGGGATTATAGGCATGTGCCACCACACCTGGCTATCTTACACAGTGGCAGTTTAATAACAAATTACACCCACTGTTTTGTAGCTTGCTTTTATTTAACAGTTTATCCTAAGTTGTTCTATATAAATACACATAGTGCTACCTTATGCTTTTTAACAGCTACAAAATATTCCTTGTAGAAATATATCAGAATTTACTTAGCAAGCACCATATATAGTTATACTTTCATCAGCAATGAGAGAATTCTTATTTCTCCACCTTACTAAGATACTTTGTCATAATACTTGCTGTTCTCTTTGTTGGATGAGGAATGATGAAACATTTTTATTTGCATTTCTCTTACTAAAAGATATTGAACGTCTTTCTATATTTCAGAACCATTTTTATTTTCTTTTTTGTGAACCACCTGTTGATGTCTTTTGCTGAGTTTATGGTGGGATTGGTAGTAATGTTTTCTTAATTTATAGTAACCTTTTATATATTAAGGAAAATTAGTGCTTTCTTTGTGATATGTTAAAACTTCCCCCATGTTTTCTGCTATGTTTTCACCACTCCATGGTTTCTTTGATCCTTCTAGG